ATTCAATTAATTTTTCTTTTAAATTTGTTTTATATTGCATAAATGTATAAATACAAAATTGTTTTGAATTGTGAACGCATATGTAAATATTGGTAGAGCATAAGATCACTGTATAATAGGAGAGGAAACGAAAAATTGAAAATCATGAAAAAAGAGGACAAATAAAGGTGGGTGATCCCCACGAAAGACAAAAAAAAAACTACAAAAAGAAAAATCTAAAATTTCATTGATTGATGATAAGCAAAATATAAAACAAATTGTTATAGTTAATTAGAGAATATATAATAATAAATAAAATATCATAATGAATTTAAGTTATACAGACTACAGAATTTATAGCCATAGATGCACCAAATGAGTTATAACCATGTTAGACAATTTGATCTTAATCAAATATATCTCATAGCAACATTAGCTTGTATTGATTCTGAGAAATGATAAAGCCTTAAGGGCATAAAACCTTTCAAAGATTGTGAAAAGAACACCGCCCTCTACATGTCAGTAATTAAAACTGATAGATTAATTTAACATTGACACTGTCCATAGAGAATTTCAAAAGTCCTATTTCTAGCATTCACCTCCTTTAGTAGATTATTAAGAATTATGATTAAATATGTTTATACTGTTCTCAGTATAATCATAGCCATCTATCATGCTGCCCTCTACATTAAGTACTCATCTAGTAAGAAGTGTACTGTGGGCATACGCTACGTTCCAATAAATTTCCACATTAGTCACCAGTGCAATTGATTTACAATAAGCAGTCATTTATGTACTGTATCACAGACCATCACAGGATGTTTAATTTCTTATAGTGGCATAGATGAATTAATATGGGCTCAATAATAATTTACCTTTTCTAGTTCAATGATTTTCTGCTCCATTTCTCTGAGTGATTCTGAAGTTTCCGCTTCTCGTAAACGGACTGCGATTAACTCTTCTTGTAATGCTAAGATGATAGCCTCAGCTTCTGAATCAATGTAAACATTTGAAGTGCCTTCACGAGCCTGAAATTACAATAAAATATACTGATACACCAACAGTCACATAACAACAAAGTACAACCCTTAATTTTTGATGTTTTCCAAAAGCATTTACATTTTATTCAATTTGCAGTTCACCATTTAGTTAGATTTAGGTTTCCTATGAATGCAAGTCTTGAAAAGTTCTATAATGGTCATCATATTTTGTTTCTATGGTAAACTGAAAATTTAAGATTAAACCACTATCATGCGAACTTTGAAGAAAAATGTCAAGAAAAAAAATGATAAACTTTAGGTTCATTAAAATATACAATTAAATCCTACAGGTAATAATGAGTTTTGTTTTCGCTAATCCTCTTGTTTACTGCAAGGGTAGTAGCCAAATTTCTCTTCACTGAAGTTCATTACCTACACATGCCATCGCACTCTGAAAAGGTTTCCTGGTGTATGGACTAGGCAAAGGCTTGCCAGATATGTTTTGTATGTGCAGTATCTCCTTACTGGAGCTCCCACAAGAATGCATAGTACTAGCATCATTGTACTGTAAGATACTTACATAATTTTAACAAACATTTGCTACAATTCTGAATATAACAAAATTATACCATTTAAAACCACATGTTTTCAACTTCAGTCTTAATGAACATTAGCTAAGCAATATCTAAACAGTGTAACTTGGTTTAGGAAAATGAGTTTTCACAATAAAGGACATTGTTTACTCATCAATAAGCAACATAGGCATAGCTAGATGATGGTGGGCACACAGTGCAATACTTAAATGCCTGGCCCTTTGACGCAAAGTGTCAACCGAGGGCCATATACCTACTGTACAAGCTAAGGCTAGCCCCAAAAGGGGATTGGGGTGAGGCCTAGCAAGCTATAACAGAAAGCTTTTTACCAGCTGTATTTGATTGATTTTTTATTTTCTTTTTAGAATTTATATATTTCAGGTCTATTATTGAACATGCCCTTAATAGTCCCTGGCCACATAGCCCATACCTACACCACTGATAAGCAATTTGATATAAATACATTTCATCAAGTTAGTGTTAAGCTGAATATGTTAGGCAAATTTTTAAAAGAAAGTATATTCTGTAAGTAGGTATTTAAAAAGTTACTATAGTAAAACTGAGAAATTGCTGGATAAATTATAATGGTAAACAACTAAAATGCATAATGTGTATTACCAAGTAGTGTGTATACCTGTATAACTCATTTACACTGAAAGTAAGTATTATTTGTGTAAGAGATAAGGCAAACAATTAAATTACCATAAAATAACTATCATATATCATAATAATACTCCACTAAATTATAATCATACTCCTGAAGAGGTTAATGTTGCTACACTTTTAACAATAGACTATGCTAGTGTTATACTAAGGTATAATCTCAATGTGTACTTCTTGTCAGTTGGTTTTGGAGATACCGAAGAGCAAGTATATTTGGTGGTTATGTCTAATATCTAATGACAAGTATCTGCGAATTATCCATATATGGGCATGATGATGTCATATTATATCCTTATATGGCAAATGAAATATTTGTCACATAAAACACTATAGTGTGGACAATGCCTAAGAATTTGTTTTGGAAACGTACACACAAGAAAAAAAAAACCTAATGATTGATTGTCTGCATATTCCACTTAAATTTAACGCCTTTCATAAATCATAGATCTACCGATAATATTTGGCTCAGTGGACCTTTCTGGAGTTTCAATCAAACTTAACAACTGACCAATCAGAACACAGCCAGGAATACGCGAATGTCCTACAAACACTGCAGTTTTGTGGGACCTTAGCAACAACATAAAAAGGGGCAGCACTTAGCAGAAAGCTCCACTTCTCCCATGAAGTTGTGTTAACATAATATCAGAAAAAAATTTAAGATGTTGTAGCAGAAATTATAATATGCAAAAAAAAAAAAAATAAGAGCTAAAACGAAAACAAAATTGTTATAGAAATAAGCAAAACAAATATATAAAATATTTCATAAAAAGTTTTACAATACAAGCATTAATTTCAATATTTTCCAAAATATACTCTTGGTGAAGACTATGTTATAGCAACCTGTACCAAGTCTTAAATTAAAAAAAAACCCCAAACCTTAAAACAATACCGGTACCAAAAAAAAAAATTAATATTAAAAAGATTTTTATATAAATATGCAAACAAACAAAAAATATATAAATATTTCATTAAATAATACATGCATCAATTTGAGAATTTCCCAAAACTGTTCAATATTCACCAATATTATATTTCCAAAAATTCCATTTATAAATGTTTTCCAAGATATGAAAATCATTATCATTTTATAATTACAATGTATTCGGTTGTTTTTGTTTTTTTTTACCTTTCATCATCTTGTATCTTTTTGCTGTTTTTGTGATGTTGGTGCTTTTTTTCGTTTATTTTCAATGTTGATTGCTTGGATTTTTAAATTTTCCCTATTAATTTTGTGAAATTCAATCCTCTTTGTGAGTTGCAATAAAGAATGATTTGATTTGATTTGATTCATCAAAAGCTAACACTTTAATAAATGTGTTCCACGATTCATTTAAACGGTGATAGTATTAAGATGATAAACGATCTACTAAAGTAGGCCAATCCATGATTTAAGTATGACAATGATATCATGCATACGCAAATATGCAATTTATTAAAAAATATGATAATCAAATCATTCAACCACCTGGCCATCATGCAAAGATATGTTTCTCATAGCTCCTTCATGCTACTGTATCCATTTAATGAGGAAACTATTCAATCAATTCTAAGTCATATATGCAAATTAAAACCCAAATATGCAAACTAAATTCAACATTACAATACCGCCACATAAAAACATTGACATGAAACTAAACTAAAGCATAAACAATACATGTATAACAGTAACAGAACATTACGTCAGTCTATTAACTAATACAGAATCTCTGCAGGACAGAAACGCATTTGACAAGGCCTAATTTACAAACACTTCCCACTGAAAAAAAGGCACATTAAAAATTTGTAATCTACAGGGGTATTTAAAATCAGATGCTTTTTTATTTTTTCTTAACTTAATTTTTCAATGAAATTTTAGTAAAATTTATCTGCTGAATTGTATTACTGTACTTGTGATATTTCATGAGAAAAAATGGTATGATCACCAATGAAAATTCAAATGTACAACAAAAATTATCAATATAAAATACATTTAAATACATATTACAAAAAACAAACCCCTTAGAATAAAGCATTAATCTTCAGTTCACAGTACAACAAGTAATGAACAACTATGAAAAAGCTAATAAAGCATGTCAATTAGACTTCACTGCAGCCACTACTTTACCTTCTGAATCATATCTTTCATGAAATTTTGAGCCTTCAGCAGTTTGTCCATGGTCTATAGTTGAAATAAGTGACAGTGAGGAGATTAAGATCACGAAAAGTGGACCTGATAATGATACGCAATTGAGACTCCATAGTTTTTTTCAATCCAACAATTCGATAACCAACCAATCAGGTGAATTATACACCAAGAATACAGGATAGAAGATACAAGATACAAATGTTGCATTCTCAATTAGTGCATGGAGAACAGCTTGCCAAGACTCCTCAGAGAGAAGAAGAGAACTGGTATAATGCCGAGTATCAACATCAATATCTCAGTCTGTGTCATCAAAATTACTCCTAACTATTATATCTAAAGTCATTGCTGGAGCGTATTTATTTACTTTCTGCCTTGTTTATAAAGTTATAGACTGTGTACTATGCTATTTTAATCTACTATTTTAAATAATTATTTAGTGTTATTCAGACCCAGAAGACCTAAAGCCTAATAGCACAATACCAAATTCTTGTACAGTACAATATCAACAATCTTTCAATATCACCAACATTATCATTATGTTACTACTAGCATTATAAACTGTTCAAAACTATAATATATCTAAGGTATCTAAGGTAGGTCTGTGAAGAGTGTGTAAGCATTCTGCTTGTATAATAGTGACCTATATTACCAATTGAGGTGGTCCAAGGTTGGTCGAGCAACCCTTAATAAATACATGAAAAGCTACAACCGACTTTACTTCACTCCTCAAAATTAATAATATGCAATGCATATACAGTTTAGCTACAGTACAGTAGATAACAACGCCAATAGAATGTATACAGACTCACCAAGTAATGCAAGTACAGTACTAAAAACCTAGAACCTTAAAAGTAAATTTTATTCTCCTAAGAAAGCAAAGGGTGCAAAAATAAGAAGTTAACCTCCAGAGAAGAATGGAATAAATACCAAACAGCCTGTCTGAATGGGTTCACTGTGCGTACAATAATTATTCAAACATATAGAAAAAGCAGTCCACCAGCACTCCTGCTGCTACTGTATGTGAGCACCTTATTGGTATGAATGAAATGTATTTACCTAGTACATATAAATATTCATTAATAATTTTCTTTTAGATAGTATTTTCATTATAATTTCTATATATTCAATACAACCATCCAATCAAAACTGAGCTTACACATACAGTAGTGCCAAACACTCAACTTAACTATCAATTTTTTAACGTCGTATCATTAAGAGAAAAACAAACATTTCTCAATTGCTAAATAAAACTTTTTAACAAATCAATGCAGCTTTTCGAGCTTTTATTTCTAAAACTAAATAAATGCATTTTGCTTTGCAAAACAATAAAGAATAATCTAAATTTGAAGGTAAAAAATGTGCAAGAAAATACTTAAATTTAACGAAATACAACCAGACGGTACTAACAAAGCACTCTGTGCAGCGTATACCTACTTTGTTCTTCTTGAATCTGAAGCTAAGTTTTCCTTTAGGCGGCTTGCAAATGAACATCAAGTGATAAAATTAAACACCAACAAGTCAAAATTATAAACAAATCATTTATCACTACTCAACATAAAATATTGTGTGTTAATTTGTGTTTCAATTTTAATTCATCCCAATACCCTATAATATAAACATTACAATAATTATAGATTTAGATTATCACCCTTACCCAAATAGGTTATGAATGTGGAAAGTTTTAGGTCGTTTTCTCGGCCAATTGATATATCGTCGCTCACATCACGAACTAACACAATCAAAGTAGATTGTGTTAGTTTGTGAAATCATGAAAGCGCGTCAAAATACGCGCTGTTGTTTTTAAGGACTTTTGTGTGGTAAAGAATACAAAATTGCTTGACAACCAATACGCGCTCCTTTTGACACGCTACTGTGATTTCACGAACTAACACAATCAACTTTGATTGTCTTAGTTTGTGATGTGAGCGACGATATGTTGGTCTAATATTCACAACTAGTTACCACATTTGTCCCTATATGTCAATTATTCAAACTTCCAACATAATAGAATGGGTTTGTTCATGTCAAACTGATATTCAAACATCAGACACTTGATAATTGTTCAATAGATAGCTTTAAGTCAGTATGAATCAAGTTTATACACTTGGATCAACGTTTTAGTAACTAAACACTGATTTTAGTACGGCCCAGTAAATTGTACAGCTGAAGATTATGACTTTTTATGTTAATAAGAAAATCTCACCTTTTCTTTCAAATCTTTGATGATGATTTGTGCACCCTCTAACTTGTCCTGCGTTTCCTGCTCCTGTTGTTTCGTTAAATGTAGTTCTTGTTTCACTTGGTACGAGTCTTCTGCTTCTTGAGCTCTGGTCAGTTGGTCATGGATAAGTTTGTCCGCAAGAGCAATGTTCTCTTTCTCGAGAACGTCGATTCGTTGGCGAAGAAGACGTGTTTCCGTTCTTAACCTCTGTAAAAATTGCAGATTATGATAGATATTGACACACTATATAGATCATTAGGAAATTTGTAGTCACAATAATTTACGATGCGCCCACATTTCATTCTCTTATTCCTACTGAAAATGTAACATCCATTTCTGTGAATGGCTGTTATGCAGTGCATAATATGATTCTAACATTTATAATGTAAAAGCAGCACAAACATAACCATGTGAACACTTGAGCGTATTATGTGAACACCTAGATCAGGCTTACCCTCATTTCAACCTGTTCTTCAGTTTCTTTGGTCTTGAATGCTAAGTAATCCTTTTCTAACCTAAAAAAAATGTTGAAATTTTAATACACATAATAATACTGGAAAAATAATTAAATCTAGTAACAACAAAAATAATCCAAACCTAAGATTTACATTGGCCAAATTTTCTATTAAACTATTAATCTGATTACCGCTAAATAAAAATGATAATAAACAATATCAATATAGCGCTAATAATATTAAAAATAATAGATATTTTTTGGATACCACAACTACTATAAATGGCGGAATTGGTTGGTAGAGAAGCTGCAATTCAAGATCCCAACCTTGAGTTGTAGCGTTGTAACATCTCGCAATGCATTATGCTCAGAAAGGCATTTTACCTATGTTTGTCAGTTTCCACCCAGAAATACAAATGGTGAGGGGGGGGGGAGAAATAAAGCACTTTATACTTTCTTCTTGCAATATGTAAGATGTTGTTAGCAAATGGTAGGTAATGTTACGTACCTTTTCATTTTTTTGGCATTATACTTAATCTGGGAGGCACTGTGAATTAGTGTGTCATGGTCTTGGCTATGTTTAGAAGGCACTGTTTTTTGAAGAAACTGAAAGAGAGAGTAAAAATTATATAATGAATAAATTTTTCTTTCATTTACAAGTGCCTTAAAATTAATAAACGAACAGGAAATTGCATTAAAAAAATTACATAACCAATGTTTTTTATATTTATTATTCTAATTAGAGACCAAAGTTACTAAAGATCATGGAAACTTAGTTCCAAAGGTGATCTTTAATTGGAGTGAGACCTGTATTATAAACTATCTCATAATAATGCTGTGTTCATTAGAACTTGTGAAGTCGGTGTTTCCCAGTTCACAACTTGTGAAAAACGTTCATCCAGTCGGTGAACTTGTAAACACAACTTGTGAACTCGAGTAGAATTTTCTTCCTCGATTTGCACAAGTAGTGTGGAAATGACCGATGTAACACAAACAAGCAGATGTATTTATTGCAATTTGTTTAAGTAATATTTTTTCAGATTTAAAAAAAAAAGTGTTTTTTGTATGTTTTATTTGCTTTATTTATCCTAATCCAAGCTTTTTTACTTAGGATAGGCCGAGGCCAAGGAGCACGTCCGTGTGAGGGTGCTTGTCAAAATCCTGAATAGAAAAAAAAATGCCATTTTAGTGTTTGTCAAATGAATGCACTCTTCTCGTGTTCTCGCATGTTACAAGTTGTGAAATCAGTTTTCAGAAGTTCTAATGAACACGGAATTAATCTCAGGGAGGTTGGGTTGATCTCCATTGTAAAAACAAATCTAGATCTTGACAGGGTTTAAACACCTGAAAATCTATGTAATGTTTTCCTATTCTTTGGATAATCAGAAAAACAATATTATTAATACAGACATTTATAAAGCACCTGTTAACTAAATACAAGGTGCATTCTAAAAGTATGAGGAAGAATAAACAGAAAAGATGAGGAATGGAAAAATATGAAAGGTAATTTGGACAGAGAGAAAGAATGGGTTTTTAAAGAGCTTTTTCAAAATGTTGTAGAAAGAGGAAGCAGTAGATTACTAAGGAGAACAAAGTATTTTGCAGCAGGTTAGGTGGTGTTGGATATAAATGAATAAGAAAACTAATCATTGATTTACTTTTAACATCTCCTCCATATCCATGGCAAGAAGTTCATCATGATGCATCTGAAGGATAGACATTCCGATGCGAAATATAATTTCCATTCCCTGTAAAGGTAACAATGAAACATACATATCAGATAAACTTTATTATCTTCCACACAGTTTCAATAAACATATATCTAATTAGAGCTATATATAAAGCCGGGCACTGACTGCATCGTATGACTGTCGCCTGACGAATCCAACTCCGCTCCCTGTGAGCGCTAGACGACACGAAGCCGTCTGCTGATTGTCGGTGGCAGTCAGAACGGATTGTAATTAAAAACGATCTGTAGCACGTGTGTTGTCGCGTTCTTCATGAAATCATGTCGGAGAACAACTGTTGTGCGCAGTGGGTGCCCGGCTTAAGATAATGATTAATAATCATAATAATAATAATAATAATAATAATAATAATAATAATGATAATAATGATTTTCCTAAATTGGACTTAAGGGGAATACCTTTTGTGTTATTTTCCCCTTAACATCGTTTTTTTTAAATTGTTCTCTAATTTCTTCATTGTCTAAGTTCCCCTTAAGGTAGGCTTTAGTAACAAAATAATAATAATAATAATAATAATAATAATAATAATTAATAAAAATAATAATAATAGGTCAGTCTTGATAGAGTGCATTAATGTATAATACTGTACTGTTAAATCTTGATAATCCTTGTTTTTTACAGTATACTGTCTATTGGGTTTTCTTTGGAATAAACAACAATCTTCCATTCATAACCTGACATTCTATCTGCATTTAAAAACCAGCTAAAATTATATTTTCTAAAGAAGCCATTAGCAGCAGAAACTGAGTTTGACAATGACAGAGATGCTAGTGCTGGGTGCTTTATAAAAACAAAAAAATATTATTTAAATACCGTATGACTTTGGGTTGTGATAAACAAATTTAACCCACAAATAAAATGACTAATACTTACATCTAATATAAATAAATCCATGACCCTGCATGACAATGGTATAGAGAAGCAGACGGAGAACAACGTCAGGAACCAGTGTGATGCGTACATTGACGTGTGAAAACCTTGCGTGATAAAGTGTGTGTAGAGGTCAGGTAGAAGCTCCTGCAAAAATAATTGAGTATCAAACTTTAAAAAAAAATTAATAGGAAGTTGCTTCATACAGCAGCCATATTAGTCAATAAATAGTCAATAAATAAAAGTCCACAACAGGGGGAGGGATTTTCCAGAAAGGAATGTAAGTGGCTAAGAGCCACCCAGAACCCCTTCGAAGAGGATCTAGGAGGTGAAAATATAGGATTCATTGATTTAAGATTCTCAGAATATGCAAACATTACATATGAATTTACATCTTCCCTACAAATGATGCTAATTGCTCCCCGCCCTCCACTTTCACCAATGGTTTTAATTAGTTTTCAAAAGTTTTTCCAGATTTTATCAGATATTTTATCATTATATGTGTGATAGTTTTAGAACTTAAGAATAAAAATACATTTATTGTTTATCTTAACAAATACAGTAATATAATAGAAATTCAGGTATGACACCTAAAAACATGTTTTTGCATTGACAAGTTAGAGACTGCAAAATTAAAAAACACTTCCCAACAAAGAAAATAAACCAAATTTACTTGGAAAAATCACTTTCAGTTTTGAAATCTATTCAACAACTTAAATTTATAACAAAGGCTTCACAAATCAGAAATTGAAAGTAAGTATGGATTGCACATTTTAAGGAAATTATTTGACAATAAATATATATCATTTCTAGTTTATTATTGAATTATATTGGAGGGAACAAATAAAAATCTATGATACCCAAGTACGTTTGATCACTTTAAAAAACTGTAGCTGTGGGGCAACATCTTGTAAAATGTATAACAACTTTAATACATGTCGCATTCAAGCTTGTAGTTCAATTTGAACATAAATACCAAAACAAATGAATCATTGTATAATATATAAATATGTATCTTCATTATTTAAGGTAATTAAGACATTAAAATGGATCCTATTAAGCTGCATATAACATTTTGATAAATTGATTCTAAAATAGCATTCTGATGTTTGCCTTTAAAAACATAAAGTTTGGTCATAGAAGTCATAAATTTAATATTTAATTATACGTAATATAAAACTCAAAATGAATAAGACATAAAATCGGCTTTTGGATGAGACATTAACCCGTTGGTCTCGTGTGCATTATGGCGTATGTGCACGTTAAAGAACACAGTACACCCTTGGGAAAAAAGTAAGGGGATTGATTGTCTCCCGTTGTACTGCCCCAATCACTACCAGAAGGACCCTGCTGGAAATACAGTAGGTCTTCTTCAGACTTTCGTAGGTTATCCTTGGTGTTTACACCAAATAAATATATCCATCAATCCATCCAAGACAATTATTATTGAATGTACTTACAACTTGAAAATATCTTTGGAATGCTATGGTTCACTAAGTTCATTATTTTGTATGTTAAAACAAGTTGTGTATATACATTTTTACAGATATATATTTTAATTGTTTCTCTATTTCAGAATTATATATTTAATCCAAATTAAATGTAGTTGAATTGATTACCTGGACCATACATTCTAGTTGGTACATACACAGGCCTAACTCTGCCATGGAGGGTTTGAATAACTCTCGTAGCCTGTACTCCTGCATGAGTTTCACAAGGACGCAAAAGGCTTCTTCTTCCGGCATCTTTCAGAAACACAATGATAACGATAATTCATATTGTTATTCACATTCTTTAGGACAACTCAGACAGTGTTGTATGACACAGCCCGACGCGATATGTTGTCGTGTAAAGTATGCGTGGGTTGAACGCAGACGTGATGGTTTGCATTGGGGATAGTCGCGTCATAGAATATTAAACATGTTTAATATTTTTCACAATGGCTTAAGAGTGCCACCAACGATAAATCACATTGGGCTGCGTTGTACGACGCAGTCTGAGTTGACCTTTAGGTTTTAAATGCAAGTGCAATTTTTAATAGCTGGGTTTGGTAATACTAAAATTCAATCAGGAAGTTTACGAATGTAAATTCAGAGACATAGTCACATGTACAACAAAGTGAATTTAACATTGTTACCAATGACATTAGTTAAGTTACCTGCATGAGTAACAAGCCAACAATGAAGGCACTTCCCTGGCAGTAACCAACCTCTCGATCATGCAGAGAATAGGCCTAAAAATACAAAAGTGGTAACAAAAGGTAAAAATGCATTATTAAAGTTAAGGTTAGAATTCTCTTGTATTGTTTCTTATGTGATGATTTATGTGTTTCAAAAGTTGCTGAAGGTTTCCTGGTAGATTTGTTTGTTTTATTTTCTTTATTCTTTTTATCTTTACTCTTGAGTGACTTTTAGCTTTGGGTTTATAAAAATCATAGGAAACTGTACTAATACCCCTATACCACACACAGCCCTCTTCAAAAAATATACTTTTATTGATGTGAAGAATAGAAGGAAGCCATTAACATAAAATGAATATGTGATTTAGAGGTTAAGGTGCATACCTTCAAATTCTAAGGTTATGGGTTCAATTCTCCCAAGTCCTCTATTTGTACTGTAACCATGTCCCATGTCACTTTGACCTTGTAAAGCTCTGCCACACTATCAAATATTATGTGACAATTTGTGTGATGTGCCCAAGTATGGGCATGATGATGTCATATTACACCCAAATATGGGCATATCATATTTATTTGTCGGATAAAATTTAACAGTGTGGACATAGCTTAACATTGTCATTAGGTCAAATTTCACAAATGTTATGTTATTGTTACTTTACGAAGAGAATTATGTCCTTGAACAATAACCAGGCTGGTTTTCTCAAGCAGAAAAATCCAAGGCGAATAATGTTACTCTGTTAAATCTTCACATATCTTATTCACCATTAAATGCACAAAAATCTTATTATTTTAAAACTATAGTACTGCATATAGTGTGAGTAGTAGTACTAGTGTAAGATTTGAAAGAGGTAGAGTTACCATCTTTCTTGATAAAAAATTATTCCAGTGTGAACACTGCTTTAGTTTTAGACCCCTGGGGGTTCCAAATGATCAGCTTTGATAGACTGATCATCTACGTTAATACGCAATGTAAAAACAAAATAATAACAAATCTTACTTTCATAACATTAAATAAAGTCTCCTGTCCTGGTCCATCCTTCTCTTTGAAAAATACATGCTCGGGATATGTTCGCGCAATATCTCTACGTATAAGTTTTTCATGGGGAGAAGTTTGCTTTAAATACTCTGCATACCGATCACGTAGCGATGAACCATATGCGCCACAAAGTAGCTGCCAAACGATTCCACGGAAATGATGTGGGATTCCTGCTCTTACTAATTCCTGAAATCAAAACATTAATGAACATTTACTGTGCTGTATTTGGAATTTTATGAGATATTGATATAAAACAGATACTGTAGTCACATGTATGTATTGACATCTCAAATATGTATTTTAATGAAAATTCTATTGTAATCTGTGGTCTATTAATGCATGTTAATTTATTCATTATTAATAGAGGTTTGAAATTCAAAGCACTTACATTTAATAATTTAAGTTGTTCGAATGATTAAATATTGATGGCGTTCTATCTTAATATACTATTTAGACGTATGAATGCAGTTTACCGTAATATACAGATGATAACAGTGTTTAAATAAAAGTTTATAAAATTATTTATCGGTTGGTGTTTGTAGAACTGTATATTAATTTTTATAACTTAGTTTATTGTGTTTACATCTCCAATGAAATGAATAGAGAATGTAAACACTGATTAGATGAATCTTTAATTTTAGTGTTTGATTCAATGATGCCTAAGAATGGATAGATTGAAAATATCTGCATAACAAATATAAAAATAAAATGAATTCAGCAGTACTTTTTTTTCAGTCTTGTAAGAAAATATGTTTATTTTTTTGTCTTAGTTGCTTCCTGTTACCTAATTTTAATCACTAGGATGCATCCACAATCTAATTCCTCTACTTAGTGTTAACAAAACAAAATAAGGATATGAAAACCACATAAAATTATGACCACCTTAACTTTTATAATTCTATGGTATATTTACCAGACACACTTCCTACTTTAAAGCAGTTCACTGTTTTGTATCATATATTTTAAATAGCTTGTCCCTTGTATAGAGATTGACCATAGTGTTAAAAGATACCCTTTCCCTTGATTCATGACCAAAAAACTATCCCCTTATTTACGGGGCATCTCAAATGAGGGGCCATACCATGAAAAACAAAATTTTTTTTTTTAAATTGTTTTAATTGATTTCCCATTGAACATTGTGCATTATGTCAGCATGTTAATAACATAACAAACTAACAATTACTATATTAATTACTATATTAAACAATAATAGCAATGTAATTAATTTAAAAAAAATATACAGTAGCACAAATTAAATAGACTATAAAAATATTTATATGCAACAATAAAAAAAAAAGTTAAGTTTATAATATATGGTAGAATTCTGACACTTAATTATTATATTTATACCAGTGTAATAAAACTCGCTAAGCTTTCATAGGAAGTCGAAGTCAAGCTTTCTCAGGTGTGTATAAAGCAAACACCGACACACTGAACTGTATACATGTCCTCAGGCTAACCAAAAACAATAAGGGTTTTCCCGATGGGTACACACATATTATTATTTGATTTCCTGCTTATGTGCCAGGTAATTACAAAGCTTTAATCTCCAGGTAGGTCTTGTAATTTACAAAACAACTTTTCTGTAAACCTATGTAACCATGTTAAATACTGTATAGTACCATATTTCCAGTCTAATATTATAGCAGTATGCTCATTTCAAATCAATAATTTCTTTTTTTATTTATGGTAAAATTACATTATTATTTGTGGAGCTTTTATTTTTATAGAGCGCATTTACTGTCATTTTACAACTAAAAAATTAAGTTAAAAAATATTAAATATAAAATGCGTTCATCTTACCCTCAATTGTTTTGGTTTCTTCTTTGAAAATTCTTCCCAATCATTGACAATCTTTCCCCATGTTACCCACAATTCATTGACGTCTATCTCACCACCGCTACTGGCATTTGTATTACTCATGTTGCTCTGAACTGACCCTGTTGACCTGAGACTAGAGTTGGAACCTCGTCGTGAGGATCTTGTTGAGTCGCACAATGATTTTGTAGACTTGGTGTCGGCTTCTAATAATCTAGAAAATCATAAAATTAAATGAAAATCAGGAATTTTGTTGTCATGACTAAAGACAGTTCCTGGGACTCACATGGAACTAACAGTACTTTCAGTATACAAGAGGGAAAAGTATTGTAGTTACTTACTGTATAGTACTACTTCCTTAATAATGAGAAAGTCGAGAATTATCACACATGAATACTGTTACCTTTGAGGATGCAACATTTGTATCATAACTTTATCAATTGACCGAGCAGAATACATTCCTCTACAAATGGTATCAAACACAGAACCTTAATGGTAAACTACCCCAGCCATTCTACTGTCATAATCAATGAATTAGCTCACTAGTTAGAATCCTATAACACCTCCAGTGTGAAAAACATCAATTGTGAAACTTGGGACACATAAAAAGCTAGCAGGTTGACACCAATGATGACATATGAACTCTTAAAGTAAACATACAAAATCCTTAACAAGAAAGTAAAAGCCTTCGTTTAGAATTAACCTTAAATACTGTAGAAGGCAAGTGAAGGTGCACCTCAATTTTTTAGTGAACATAATCTTTTTTTGTTCAAATGTCAAACCAATCATAAAAAAAAGGAATGCCATTATACAGTAGTGTACTGTAGCCACTGGAAATCTGGGGGAATGGAACAACCCAAGTCCACAAATATAATCCCATTATTTTTTTTTGTCTCAGTAAATAATAGGCTACTATTTTTAGTATGTAAAACAGTGGGATTTATATAGTGCATAATACTGATGTCTCTATGCGCTTTTATGTTACATACTGTAGTATTAAAAAATTGTTAAAAGTTAGAAAAGAGACTTCTGAATGCTCCATTTATACTATATTGTAACTAGACAGGTTTTACAACTCAAAAAACTATTTTTTATATTTTTCAGTTACATTGATACCCATGTTCCAAAAACCCACTAAATAACCTACTTAGCATAAAGTATTGATATTCCAAACATGGACAACAGTAGAAGTTCAAAGGTTAGGAGATACATTCCATGAAAAAAACATGGTGAAACATGGTAAATTACCAGTCAAGGTTAGTCAATTAAAATGGCTCAGTTGGAGAAGTGATGTATTAATGCTTTATAGTAGAATACACATCTCATGTTGTCTTATGTTTCTTATCGAGCAGAAACAAAAACAACACATGCATTACAATCACTAGGATCTGTAAATTAAATTATGAAATTAAATTAATGATGCTGTTCCTCTCACTCATGTGGAAAAGTATGAAGCTTAATGACTTGCATTCAAGATAACCTGAAATGGTATGTCACATATATTCAAAGAAACATACAGCATATTTGAGCAGTACACATATTTTGCAATTTCTTGTATGCCAGTTAATCAAACTGATAGGACCATAAATGGAGGGGTTATTTTAACCAAACTGTTTCGATGATACAGTAAATCATTACAACTCATTATTTTGTCCCAAAAATTATGTACTAGCCCAAGTTTTAATTATGAACAAATTAAAATGTAGTTGAAATGTTGGTGTAACCAGGTTTAACAAGGTGTAATTAGGTATTGAAATTAATTTTTAAAGATCACATACTCAGGTATCTGAAAATACCAATAACTTGAATTTCAATTTTTGCTACAACTTAGCCATTTTGCCACAACATGCCTCATATATTCAAAGAAACATACAGCATATTTGAGCAGTACACATATTTTGCAATTTCTTGTATGCCAGTTAATCAAACTGATAGGACCATAAATGGAGGGGTTATTTTAACCAAACTGTTTCGATGATACAGTAAATCATTACAACTCATTATTTTGTCCCAAAAATTATGTACTAGCCCAAGTTTTAATTATGAACAAATTAAAATGTAGTTGAAATGTTGGTGTAACCAGGTTTAACAAGGTGTAATTAGGTATTGAAATTAATTTGATACCACGTCAGGTGTATACAGTACCTAATTCATGTCATTATTAGAGGGTTAGCGTGACTGAGAACGGGACCAGTACAGCGAGCAGGTATTTTGTAAGTCGGTAGAGACAGAGTGGTAAATGTGATGATATCAGTACACAGTTATGGTGAAAAGCTACAGCATGCATGCATCCAACCAATCAATTATTATTGATAAAATCATAGCTATCCTTGGAACAGCCATGAATATAGTACATACCCATCAGAAAAAAAACTTTGAAAGTAAGTAAAGGTATCCATTGAGTTATCACACTTAAACACAATTTACAATCATCCCCAATAATAGGCTAGGCTCAATTTAGCTGATTCTAAACACTGGGCAAAGGCAGGCACAGGGCAATGAAGCTTGTGACAAGTGTGTACATAGTAGGCTGGGATTGGTGTTTCTGGTAGGCCTCCTCATGAGCTCATGTCAAAGCAGGTCATTGGCTTGTTATCCAATTGAGCAGGGTAAAAGTCCAATCAGGGAGGGCTTCACACAAATGAATGCAGACTGATGAAGAAGTGAGCTGTGTTTGGATAACAACTTATAGAATACCACATTCCTTGCATTGTATCCATGCCTCTGTTTCCATTAAGTTTTGTGAGGGAAATATAAAATTTAAGTACCCTTAAGCGTAATTTTTATTTGTGTTGCCCAACCAACCAGCTTTTTTTCGTAAAGTATTCTCCAATAATTATTAAAATACTTTCTTTAATTAATTTGATACCTTACCACTTAGCAGATGATGAGAGACCAAAATGCCATTAGGCCTGTAAGCCTAGTTAAAATAAAATGGAATTCCTGACCAAACAATCTTAATTGTTATTACAACAATTTTCATATTTTTTTAATCCTTTCTTTAAGTCACTTTTTCAGATGGTCAGAATTTAATTTTTTTTTATAGCATTTAGTTAATTTAAACGATTATACATTATCTTTTGCATTACTTCTTATATAAAGCCCTTATGATATTTTAAGAAGCGCCTCATGCCGCTGTGTATTGTGAGAATCCTGATTTTTTTTTTAATGACTACTTTTACTGTAAAAGCAACAAAATAGTTAATAAATGAAAGTAACACTTACATTATTATTCATCATCTTAACAATTTTCTCTTTAACCTAACATTAAAAATGTACTGTAGACCGATTATACCAATACAGAAATAAAGAAGCAAGATTTTTAAAAGATCATCAACACTAAGCCTATAACTGAGTCTAATACCTACAGTATAAAATACAACTCTCTCTCTCTCTCAATGCTAATACATTATATTATGAATTTTTTTCAACAATGAGAATTTCTTTAATAAGTAAATCAAGTAAATTCAGTTTGACTAGCCAAAGAGCACTTTACTTACGGTCTCACCAGTACTACACCTATGTGACTAGTTCCTTTTACTTACTCTTTCACTGGTACTACTGTACTGTACTCTGTTGTATATACATACCACTTGTTAGTTCCTTTATACATAAATGTTAATGATGCCTCTTAGTATTTATAAAGTTTCTGTTTCACATTCATTAACAAAACACTTTCATAATCTTAGATTGGTCAATTTCAAAAACCTTTTATAAATCTATGTACTTTTTTAGTTTTTAAGCCATTGAAACATATGAAATTTGTATAGTAATTTAAAATATTCATTAAAACAGTTCTTATTTATATCACTTAGCTGAGCGTACAATATCATAGTAATAGATTAGCACTTTTTTACAATTTCTTGGAAAGCCTTATTGTGCATGTGAGTACACTTTATATCAAATTAAATGATCAACTTAATCAAGTCATGGAAGTACATAATGAAATGTTTGTAGAGAGTACAGCAGATACATGTTTTAGTGTCATCCAAACAAAACATAAACAACTACTGAATATGAAAAAAAGATATAAAACTAAAGAGGGCAGTATTTGCTAGTTTCTTTTGGAGTGGATGAATCCATTGGTGAATGGGAGGCCAGAGGTGAATGGGTAAACAAAAAATAATGTGATAAATAATATAAACACCATTAGTCACTGGAAGTGTCTTTATTATCCAATACAAAATCAGGTTACACTTTTTTTTAATTCAGTAATTTCTATGCTCAAGTTAATAATTTGAATGTTAATGAGCAAGTTAATATCAAAATTATTTTTTATGATGATAATTAATACATTTAACTAGAGTTTTGTACATCCATTATTAGTTTTTTTTTTTATGTTTCTCATCACAAGCAAATTGTTTGAATTATTCATTATTGTTAACGGTTTACTAATGTTTCTTACTTTACAGGCCTTGGCCTTCATTTCATTTCCTTTTAATCATTTATGTAATTTGTCATTGTAGCATTTCTCATTATTTCAACAGGATCCCTTCAGAAACAAGCAAGCATGCTTAAAGGGTTATCCTAAAATTCTCTATAATTGTTTTTTTTTATGACTCATTTAATTTCTGTACTTTGTTTACTTGTGAGAATTTCTAAATAAATCAAACTCTGGATAGAAGAATAAACAAATTGGAGAAACTGATCATAAATAAATTATGTCATGCAATTATATTTTTTCAAGTGTAGCACTAGAAAATATAATCCTGTGATACAATTAATCAATAAGCATGAATTCCCTACTTGTTTTGAAGCTCCAACTTGGCTACTAGCTCCGCCTCTGTGTTGGCTGTGATAGACTCAATCGCTGCCGTCTTCTCCATCAGAAGGTCAACGCTTTTTGATGAACTACTATCAACGCCACTATCACAACCGGACAACTCCGACTCGATGCTCTTCATCTCAGCACTCTCTATACTGCAATTTGATGATAAGGTTCCGCAACCTTTGCCATCCGGAGAATTGTTGGGACTAATGGTGCTTTCTTTACAACCTTCCACCATTATCTTGGTTGATGATAGAGGTGACACACAAGCCATGAACAGATCTCAATGTTTACACCTATTGATAAGAAAAATGAAACAGAATTATTATTATGATGTTTAAGTCTTTATAAAATACAAATTTCCAAATTTTACATAAATTACAGTACAGTATTATACAAGAGCCCAATTGCGCACTTTTTCCAGTCCTGAAACCATAATCCTGTATTTTTAAAGTCAAGGTCATTGAGAACTTGAATTGTATGGCCATAAGTTGGCAAATCGTCACTGCTGAGTTACAAAATCTTGCTTCAAAAAAAGACATATGTTGAACATATTGATTTATATTTTACAAGTCATGACAAGTGTGGAAAGGCTTTAAAACTAACATATAGGTCACAAGCATAATTCTGTATGAAAGAGAAACTCTAAAGCATTTAAAACGAAGAGCTACTGCTACATTGTTGGTGACAAAATGCATTGTGAATTGTTTGCTTTTAAATAAGCACCTCCATGCTCACAAAAACATATTTCATACCAGTAGGTCCACTTCTAGTTTGAGATAATTCAATAGCAAACACCAAATAAAGGAAGTAGGATGTTACTATCAATCATCATGGTGAACTTATCATACTACTACGCCATACTCACAAAGAGTAATACTATAGTTTTTACTCAAACATCTCATATCTTACTAATAACCTGACCAACAATTTCAGAAAAATCAATTTGTTAAAATATTATCCACATGGAAAGAAATATGCAATTCCCTCTGTAAAAGCTTGCACAGTATCATACTGACCTAATAAAATATGCTCAAATATCCGAAACATGGTTTATTTGACAAACATATGGTGATAATAACAAAGTTAGCAGTAGGCCCTTTGCTTTTGATAAACTAAGTGCACTTATGTGGCATTGATTGCAAATTAGACTGATCATGTAGCTCTACTGCCACTGTAATCTATACAACGGAATTGAAAATTTACCGACTTACAGTATTTGGGCCTTGTCAGAAACTTCCTTATAGAGCTTTATACAGAACACAAATAATTGATAATAATTATGTGAGCTTGATATAAAAAATGGAATGGATTAAATTATCACAATGCTAATAGTTTTAAAAATCTACTATAATTAGTACTATAATGAATATTGTCCACAAAGGTTAAAGGGTGTTAACATTCCTGGTTGCACCAATCACAATCATGACACTATAATTCATAACCGAAGTTCGACCAATTGGAATGTTGGCTTTATGGGTTAATGTCCAATAGGTAATGTCCTCTCATTATTGTCCTCCAGCTACATAGAAAAACATAATTTGATTTTCGCAAAACATGGCAACTTTACGAGGAAAATACCCATGCTCAAATCATTAACAGATGAAAATTTTGTTTTGTCCTTGGAAATTACAGAGCTTAGGAAATGATTGTTCTTTAGAGAATAAAAACTTTTAATGAATTAATTATTTTTGTTGTTAAAAATGGCCTCTTCCTTTGTTTAGACTTCTTTGAATGATGTCAAGAACATTTTCACAAGAAAAGAAAAATACATCGCTGAACATTGTATGGAGGGAAAACAGTACAATATCTTGCACCATCATATCCCATCAAAAAATAATACGACCTTAAATGACTTTTGATACTCTATGCCCTGGGTATAGAAACAAGGGAGTGCAACCCCAAATGGGGTCCCCAACAGATCATAGTGCCACTGGGGTTACATTTCAATATTACAGGTTGAATATTTACCAACATAAATCAGACAATAATCAGACAATGTAATTTCCTGTTATTGTATATTAGGAAGATATGGACTATGACATTGTGGTTTTGTAGTATAGTGGTTTGGCCAAATCACTGTTGACTTAAAAGTGAACAATAGTACTGTAGAGTAAGTCAATCCTTGTACAGGGTGTGATACAACACATACAGATGTGCCGACTACATGCCCATACTGACTGTAAAAAATGGGTACTGTACAAGTTTACATTATACTGTACAGTTCAGCCTGTTCTTTCCATTCCACTCCATGATGCTATTGTTTAATTACACTTTACTTTCAAAATTACACCATTAAACTCACTTTCACTTTGAGTTTTATTTTCCAGAAAGTACCTTGCAGATTAAACTGATAAGACCGCACCAAGCAATGCATTTCTCAAAAGTCGAAAATTGTTGTTTCTAAAATACTGACCAGAGTAATTTGTAAAGAAGAGCTAAGAAAAAAGTCTCCATATATTGTAGATCTTTACTACACTGTTGAATACCCTTACAATTATTATTTCTTAATAGAGAAAATGTTTTCCCGAAAGTACCTGGAAGATAAAACTGATAAGAGCACAAAGCAATAATTCCTCAAATTTCTAAAATTGATGTCTCCTAACAAAGACCAGAGTAATTTATAAAGAAATATTCTAACTAAGCTTAATAGTCCCTATATATTGTAGTTTTGTAGATTATTAATACATCGTTGAATATCCTTACAATCATTATTTCTTAAATAGCGATATTTTTAACCTTTTGATTTCAAAACATCTCACATTTCAAGTAAGAGAAAGCAAGTCAGTTGTAATCAAGGTGGCAGAAATACAATCAATAAAACACAATAATGCATAGTCAGTGTGATCTCACCCTCTATACATAGAGACCTTCAAGGTTTATGGATTCTGTGCAATATTCAAAACAATGGCAGTCTAAAATGCAATAACGTGTTTATACAATGGACAGAAATATAACTTGCTATAATAAATACTGTGATTACATGATTATTAAACATGATCTTAACGATATAATAATTAAAATTATGAGATACAGATCGTATAAAACAAGGATCGCTTTGGGAATCGAACCAAGTACTTAAAAACATCAGTACCACATGTGTATTTGAATGTCCCTGACCAAATCCTTTTTGCCAGTAAATACAGATTTTTGTAATGTAAAATGCAAGCCATTCAAATTTTATTATTTTATCTTCTCCAAAACAGACAGTATACAACGATGAATCTATTAACATTTATGATGAATCTGTGCTTTAGGGCTATTTCAGAATCACTGATACTCACATCAAATGTCCTCATAATCACTTATGACCTCCAGCACAGACAACTTCCTCTTTCTAACATTCAATCAATCATACTGACGATTTGAAGGGACGGTTTTCATGTCATCAACATCATTCACTAAATAAATATTATTGTTTTATCTTCTCAGATAAGATGTACTGCATAGATACTGTACTGTAACTACAGTGTCAGTACATCCTGCTAGAGGATGACTTTTTAAGAGTTCTGTCACCATCTCTTGTACAGGTTGTACCTGGTCATCTGTGGCAGGGCAAATGTGTAGGCCTAATTTATTCCTTTGCTCGAGTCAGGTTCAGAAAGGAATGCACTAGCATGGTCATCTTTGGTGATTCCTACAATATTTTTAACATGCTGTTGTTTTGTTTTTATTGTGAAGAACCTAAAATTGTATTGTGGACAGAAAATATTATATGTAAAATATTATTGTTCATCTTTTAGATTGTAGGCAAGTCTACAGTTTAGATGTGAGCCTACAGGAAAATAATAATTTCTACTTTCAGGATGCAACAGAGTTGTAGGACTGGATTTAATGTCCACTATCTTCAATCCATCTAGGGCAGTTTAATGTTCATAGGTTGTGCCCAGGGTCTTTATAATATCAAAACAAACTCAAAATGAAGCCATGTCATTGTGTGATTCAATAATTATGATAATCTATAGGACCACTACTGTATAGTAGATGAAATACTGCAGCTTAATGATTTATATAATTTGGTGCCTTGGAAGAAATATCTTCCATAGCATATAAATTGGATCACTTTATTCATCCAATACACTGTATTGTACATTGGATGAAATCACTACACTATTTGAACCACTGGATAAGGAAGTTCAGCACCATTTTTGGAGTTACTAGATGAAATAGCTCATACCTTTAATTGGACAACTAGGCCTATATGAAATAGTACTGTACATCATTAATTCGACCAGTGGATGAAGTATGAACATTTATTATAATTCATTAATGTATTAATGTACAGTAGTTGAATTTACAGTATAGTCTATAGCACTTTATACCAAAGTCTCAAAGCGCTCGAGGGCTAGCTCGTACTGTACAATGACTTACTGCTCCCCTACAGTAAGGGTTTCTTCGTGTCTGAGCTTCCTAGTACAAGCTATCTCTCGTCTCTAGACAACAGGGGCTGTATAAACGGTAACAAGTACACCCGGGGTAACTCACTACTCACCTCGAAAGATGTATTGCGTTCTTTACAGTGCACACGAGCTCAATTGTGTCCACTGGGCCTACGGTTTATAGTCCTTATCCGAGAAGACTTGTTCTACCACCAGAACCATACTGTAGGCGAGCGTGCTGTTTGAACCGGCGCCGATATTATGGCGTATGTTGCAGCTCCCCTGCATTTATTGCTCAGCCATTCGACAAGTTAGTCATATACCATAAAGGAAACCGTTACAGTAGTATTACTACAGTATTTATTGGTGTGACCATGAAGAATTCAACTCAACAGCATATCTAGACAATTTATTGGACCACTGCATAATAAAATACTGCTATATTAAAATACAGTTTATTAGTATATTACTGTGGTAAAGGTGGTGGAAACACTACCACACTGGAAATAGCTCACATCATTTATTATTGGGACCATCCAGATACAGCTCAGTTCGGACCATGAAAAAAGCAGCTGAACAATAAATGGTGAAAAGGAGTAATTATATTTTGGAAACATTGAGGAAATTGTTCAACATATAATAGACTAAAAGTTATGAAAATTACATGACAGTTTCGTTCGCTGACAGCTACCATTATCAAATTACTGTTAATTATTATTACTGTTATTGTTATTGTTGTTATTATTATTATTATTATTAAATTATTATTATTGTTAAATCAGTTTCTAATTTCATAATCCAAACAGAAATGCTTAGTACTGACCTAATTATAACAAATTATGACCCACTATATAAAATATTGTACCTAGTATACTACTATATCATTGCCAAGCATCTGTTATGGCTTTTGGAACGTC